CCTTCTTCACCCTAGTGACCGGTCCTTCATGGACGCTCGGGGGCGGGATTACAAGCAAGCCGAAAACGGGTGCACCATTTAAACTCAAACCGTAGTGAACGAAAACTAGGCATAAACTTTATTATTTGATATCAGGATCGGTTTTAGAATTTTCGTCAGAAATAGTTTAAAAGTTAACAAACATTTTGTGATGTCTCCGCATTTTTTATAGTCTCACTACGTTGTGTTTGAAGACTGGTTTTATGAAAGTTCTTGAATATTAAATGAATATCGATCTGTAAATTATTTTATTCACTTAAATACAGCATCCTCACAGATATGATAAATTGTGTATAATAGATTTTCTCCATAAAACATACATCTAGTCAAATCTTAAAAATTGCCATGGTATCTTACAGTCTTGCTGTACTGCCATTTTTATTACAAATCAAAAAGGTTTGAAAAAACGACATTTAAATGTATCCTGTGAATGAAAATTAACAACCGTGAGATTTCTAGTCACGACCAAACCTGCAAAGAATATGAAGACGAATCGAGGTCAACTGTGTGTGCTGCAAATAAACAACACCAAACACGACATTCGACCCTTTAATCACCGTTACAGTCGAGGAATAGTTATCCAAATATCAGGTTCCGTTGTAGGGTCCTCATCCTCCTTGAGTTTGGCATCTTCACTCGCCCACAGCTTTCGGTGGCAGTCAATAATTTCACAAAATGTGCAGGGATTGTACTCTGGATCGCAGTAGTAGACTGTTAAGACATGGAGCTTTAGCAAAGGATTTTTGGACAGAAGATTCGCAACTGAACCCAAATGCAGGTAGTGGTGGGCACAACTTGCGCTCTCCAGGTTTGCCGGGTACACGTACAGGTTTCGCAGAGTGGGGGACGTGTGGGGGGTGATGGCCACCAGCACCTCGTCCGACAACCCGCGCACCACCAGTTCACGCAAAGCTGGCATCCGTGGCAGGGCCCTGCTTAGCGGCTCCATCTGGGGCAGAGGTAACTCGAGCTCGATTTCTTCGACAACGATAGCCAGCGTTTCCACAAGGGACGGCCCGGAAGACACAAGGGCCAGGACCAGATCGACGGCGACGTTGTCGACGCAGGCCTCGTCGCTGTAGGTCAGGGTGACCTCGCGCAACTGCTTGCAACGGCGCAGGAAATCCGCGGCACCCTGCACGGCGGCGGGTCCCGCACCGGACCCCACGAAGAGGGACACCTCCTTCAGCGACTCGCATGCCGCCACGGCCTCTAGTCCTGAGAGGAGCGGACAGCCGTGGAGCGAGGAGAGCTTAGGCATGCCGGCGAGTACGGATGCCAGCGTCGTGACCGAGGGGAGAGCCTCTGGCGTCGGGAATCGGAAGTCGCCTTCGAAGTCGAAGTCGACCGTCTCCAAAGTGTGGGCGTGGACGGCTAGCACGACCTCGCAGAAGGGGACCAATTGCGGTTTCAGGTGGCACCGGAAGGTTTTCAGCGACGAGCGCGGCGCACGCCTGCCCACGTTGGGCGCGGGGATGGTGTTGACACCGTCAAACATGTTGACGGTGAGCACCTCCAGCCCGGAGGTGCACGCCACCACGCGGAGCAGCGCGCGGAAAACGAGGCCATCCACATCCACTGCCATGTCCTTGAACAAAGGGAGCAGAACGCTCAGCTCCTTCAGGCGGCCGAGGGCCTCTTGGTTCCGGATTATGTAACCGGCCTGCTCCAAACAGTCGGGGGTGTCTTCTTCACCCACCCACAATTCCAGCTTCGAAACGGCGCACTTCGTCACTCTGTAGAGCCGCATTTCATCCCGCCAGCACGGGAGGCTGATCTTGAGGCTCGCCAGGCACGGCGCGAAACGCAGCGCGGTGCTGAAGGTGGGCGCGCCGGCACAGCACGACAGGACCTGGCGCCGCCATGCGTCCGGGTGCACGGCCAGGGCGCCGAACCTCTTGCACACGAGGCGGCACGCGAGCAGGTCCTCCACGTCCAGGTAGCCCATCACCATCAGCAGCACGTCATCCGGCAGCAAGGACGCGGCGTCAGGCTGCTCCATGCTCTGCAAGGACACGGTGAGCTGTTAGCGCGGGCGGAGAGCAGAACGATGGGGCAGCCGTTGGCGGTGGTTTGTGGTGGTACTCTGGTAAACCTGCCACGTATGGAGACTCGACCTGTACGAGGGCCCAAACTTATGTTTGTGGTCAACACACCAACACAGCCGAACGACGCCACCCCCAATGTTTCCCTTAGTCACCTTATGGCGGAACGTGTTTTGTGGAGGAGCCCAGAGGGGGCACGAACAATTTGACTTTGGATTTTTGATCCAATTTCCAGCCGAACTTCCTACCTCTGATGTGCAGTCTCGGGGCGCTGGTGTTGACGACGCGACCTTCCTGCTCGAGCAGCGACTGGATAGGGTTTGTTCGGTCTCGGGTCTGCCTGCTCCTGGGGACGAGGTCCAGCACACGTCGGGGCCGAGCACCTCTTCGGAGTGGTGGGGGATAGAGTGTTCCCTTCTTGATCGGAGGGTTTCTACTGTAAAAGACAAATTTGTGAGGCTAACATCCTCTTTCGCGGTGCTCCCTCGAGTCTGGGACAAGACAAGCCCAGAATGGGAAGTCTAGACTTCAGGTTTGATTGGTGGACGCTTTGTAAGAGTTGAACACTTGTTGCAAGTCTACCGTGTCGGAGGCGCGGGCTCGGGTATCAACCAACTATCCGAGTTACCCGGCGGGCGAGCTGTCAGAACAAACGCACACACTAAACCCTCATGCCCCGTGTAGTGCATAAGACTTGCAGCAGCCATAGTTACGCACAACTTTTACCGCGTGCACGGTCGGCGAGGTCATGTTAGACTTTTTGAAGATATACTGGCGGATTGTACTGAAAATGATGTACCACATCAGGGCGTTTGGGGAAGATTAGAGTTCAGGGGCATATTAAGAGCCGGCTGTCACCGGGTAGAACAGCCAGAAGAGGCGGCCTTGTTTTAGTGCGACTATCCTTCAATACGCGTATGGAGATGGAGAGCTTTCCCAGCTGTGTGCCTAAGCCAGACCGTGCGATAAATGATTGCCCCCCCCCCCCCCAATCGCACCTGTGTATCTTGTATGTCCTAGAGGTCGCGAGGGACGCGTAGTGGTCAGTTTAAAGCAGTATCACAGACCAACTCGATTCTAAACAAAAAAGAAAAGTATCTTTCAAGGGATTTATTTATTTATTACACATCTAATTTGACAAGACTACACTCAAACCGTTTCATATGTGCGAACTCATTGTGAAACAGAAAAGTATTCTTCAAAGCTATTAACTTATTACACAACGCAACCAGTACGATAGCATTAAAAAAAAAAACAATCTAACGGTTTTAACAGTAAGCTTGCCGTCCAACAAATTAAAGTATTTTGTA